AAACGCCCTGAGGAATGCTTCCAGCACATTGATGAATCTATGCCACGAAAAATTGAGGCAGTTCTGAAGGCAAAAGGGGGTCCAACCCATTACTAGCATGGGGTACCTAATAAAGTGGCCGGGGAGTGTATACTGTATACTGATGATAAAAATATGGGATTTCTGTATGGAAGTGAAAGCCAAGCACCTGTAGTTGTTTGTGAGAGTGCACTACTGCATGTAAAGTTTATCCAAAGGAAAAATCCTCAATAGTGGTTGTGAAGGGACAAAGACGTCTCAAAGTGAGGCCATTTAGGCCCAGTGTCTCCCTCATTAAAGTATAAATTATGAACACTGAAGAGATGTTGTTCTAAGTTCTTCTTTGACCTTTTTCTTGTATCATTTGTGTGCAGATGGAGTGATTTTGGCAGAGCAGGCACTCCTGAAAAGATTCCCCAATCAAAGATTGCTTTGTATCCAGAGAGATTAGTTTCAGTGACTCTAATTGAGCACAAACAACTCAAAATTTGGTTGAAAGCAAATATATAAAATAAGAAGCAGATAAAGATTGACCATGATGTTTGTGTCAGGGTTTGTGATTTTTTAGTTAAAGACGGAGATGTTAAATTAAAATTGACTGTTTAAGGACACAATAAAAACCACTGCTTTATATCTCTGCTAAATCCTTCCATCTTACTATCCTTTACCTTCTTAGACCATCCATTAAAGGAGCTCTGTGAGATCAGAACATTTTGGGATATTGTTTTATAACCTCACTCTGCTCTACATTTTTCCATAACTTCACCTTTCTTCTATGGTTGTTAGTTTATGATGCTGTTTTTTCTCCAGTGTTTTCTCTACCAAAATAGGACATATTTAATCCTTTATAATAAAGTGATGGTGCCTTTTAAAGCAGTAGGTATTATTTACACAAAAAAGAATAGACTGATGTTGATCATTATAAAGTTCAAAGGCTGATGGGCTGGGTTTAGTCCTGTATTAAGGAGGTATCAGTCAGTGAGTGAAGGGCGCTCCCAGAACATCTCACTCCACTTACAAACTTAGTCCTCACGTAGTGCATAAAAGGACAGCTGGATCTACATACTAATTAGGAATATTTTGATATGATTTGTCAGCTAGTGTATTTTTATTTTGCATTACTTAAGTAAAGGAGGCTGAACATGGATGCACACCATACTATTAGGGCAGAGGTCACGGATTAGCAGACTGGGTCTGGCTAACCCGGACCCAACCTGATTTAAAACATTTATAAATTACTGCATTGTTGCCCGACAGCAGTGTCTAATTTCACTTGCGCCGGTTCTCCTGTTTGTACGGTAAAGCCCTCCAGAGCCTATGGGGCCAGGCTGCAAGTGATACAAATTAGCCAAGGAGCTGCTGTCAGTCTGGGTTGCTGCTGCTGGAAACTTTTAGACACAGCAGCCAAACCTGTGGCAAGCCAGCGATGGGAAAGAAGGAGAAGACGATGAGAAAAAGATTCTCCACCATGACCATATTCAAAAATAAATGCTGATCCAGGCTCATAATGAGAACCTTGATCTGTGCTTGAGAATGGATTTGTCTCCATTCAAACCCAGGTTTAAAGCCTTGCAGGGCAGCATAAAGCCCACTGCGAACATTAAGCCCTAAAAAGAGAAAGTAATATAACAAATGGTCAGTTCAGGTGTTTTATAAAATATGGGAATCAGGAAATTGTCTATATACCAAACCGAATGATTGTTATTCTCTAAATAAAAAAACACATTATATTTATATATATATATATATATATATAGATATATATATATTTTTATTTTTTTATTTTTACTTTTAAAAATTAATAACATGGGTGCATAAACACCTCATTTTATTTCAGTGTTAATTTCTTTTTAAAGTAACAGATTATAATTAAAAATGTCTCTGGACCTCTACTGGTTGTTGATTTTCTTCATTCAGACCCTCTTGATTTTTAATTAATTACCCCTGTATTAGGTTATCATTTTGATTAAAAATGTTAAAAAGCATTGCAATGTTTTCTTTCCCTTAACCAATGCTTTGTGTTTGTCTACCACTTAAAATTTCACAGAAATATGTTGCAGTTTAGAATTTATACTCACCAAACACAATAAAGTTAAAGGGCAGTGGACATTTTTATAGGCACTGTTGCTTTAGATGGGCCCTAAATAATAACTGTGCACAGGGCCAAGTAAAGCCTTGGGGCGCCCCTGGTTGCGTCACTATCGAAACCTTTGGTATCAGTCACAGTTGGATACGGAGTATTTGTGCTTCCACATTATTACCGCGAGGGGGCGCATATTCCCTGTATGCATCTTTAACACCTGAGGGGTTCGAACCATGTGCATTCCTTATGATGAAGAGGCCTCACTCTGGACATTTTTCTATAACGATTACCTAAGCTTATTCAAATAAAATTAAATAATAAGATTAAATGTTCGATTTATGTACTTTATCAACCAGCACAGAAATGTATGTATATTGGTAAAAAGCAAAAAATAAGTAATAGTTTCGTTCTCACTGATTTTTTTTTCGCAGTGAGATATCGCGCAAGGAGACGATCTTCGCTGAAAGGTAGTTGCCGAAGTTGTCAGGGGCAGGCAAGAGTCCACGGGAGCGAGAAGTGTTGTGGATTACAAACACACCCCGAGCAGGAAAGGACGGGGAAGAGGATACTGTCCGAGAAAAAGAAAAGAAAACAACAACTTTTCATCTGGACAAAGCGGCAGCTCCAAGGACAAGACAGGTTAGCTGTGATTTAACTTCGCAGAGGAGCACCGGAGATTACCGTCCTCTCCCTGAGGGACTCACAGGCGGAGACACGTTCAGGTGCGGATCTTTGGCTGGGACTCTGGAATGCTTTAGCCACAAAGCTAATTAGCTAGGCTAATGTTAGCGACAGATTAAAACAGGACGGTTGACATTGGACAGGAAACTTTGTTGAAAAATATATAGATATGAACTACAATTAAAACTAAAGCCTTTACATTCAAACCTGAAGCAAAACTATGAATTTCGACAGCCTGTAAATAAACCAGAACAGAGCAGGAGCTGTTATTTATATTAATTTAGTGTAATGATAATATTAACCCCTTAAAGTCTGACTTGATATACATGTACAAACAAAAATAAATTTTGTGCATTTTTCCCCCTTCAGTGAGATGCCATATTAAAATAAATAATGTTACTAAATACATAGAAATGAAGGTAAAGTATGTTTTGTAACAGCAGTTATAACTGCATAATAACATAAACTGTTACTAGCAAAAAACCTATAGTAGCTGTTTGCCTACACTGCAAAAAATGTTCTGAAAATGATTAAAATAAGTGTATTTACCCTTAATATGAGTAGGAAAATTAGATGATCTGACAATGGAATGAGGATTTTTACACTATAAATAAGATAATTAGATATTATGCAATTGAAATAAGAGACAGCAGTTGTTTTTTCTTATTTTAACTGTATATTGTCTTGTTCCAAAGTGTCTCACATATCTGCTCCATTCAAGAGAAAATGCTCTTATTTTAAGAAAACTTACTTAGATGTACATTTTTTGCAGTGTAATACAAGCGGTTTGTTGCTTATTAGCAACAACAGGCTTTAAAGGGTAAAATAAGATGATATTAATGAAAAACAGAATGGGTGTGTGTTTATTACTCTTTAGAAAACTGTCAAACGTGTAGAAACCAAACAGTTTTATGACAGTTGTGTTGTTCACACCCTTAAAATCTACATTAAATAACTCCATGTCGTGCTGTTAAAAGCAAACATTGTATTTTTGCTTCTAAAGCTTCAGCGTGCAGCACAATAAATCTGACTCATTTGGTGTGTAAATGAATACTAGAGTTTATTTTTATCACCGATGTAGTTTATCCTCACAGTGACTCACTTTATTTAGATTCAAATTTAGATTCAAACTCAAGTCATTCATGTCACAACAGTGAAGCAGTGAACATTAATGATATAAATGAGGTGGATTAACAGCTGGAAGATGGGGGAACAGCTCAGAAGTCTTATGTACACATTATCTTTATATATCTTTATAGTTATGCCTGATATATCAGCATCTCTTGGTATCAGCAGATGTTTGTCATTATTGGTCCCATAAGGAAAGCTGGTCCGCTATTACTAACTAGTGTCTATTTCTATTATTTGCAGTTGGTTTATGTGTTTTAGAAAGAGTGGCAGGGGTTGTCCATGTGGTATTTGTTTGGTTATTCTACAGTAACAGTGATGCAGTGCAGGATTGTGGGATTATTTAACTGGAGTAGAGGAGATAAGCAATGTCAGACAAGTTTTTTGTTTGGTTATTAGTTTAATATTGTTGAAAGTTTAAAAAAGTATTTATATTATCCTAAAAAAATCTGCAATACACTGTAACCATAATAGTATGACAGTAAGGCAATCATACAAAGATGCATCAGTAAGCTTTAACCCTTTATAGGGCAAGTTAGCGTTTTTTGATCACAAACTGCCTTTGGCGCGTTCTTATGGCTTCCCAGGTTCCAGGCGGTTACCTATAGCGCCGCCTTTATCTCTGTGGAAAGATAGGAGCCACGTTGGGGAAGAGAGGGGAGGAAAAAAAAGCATATTTCACACTTTGTCCTTGACAGGATACAGTTTGAGTTATCAAAAAAACCTCAGCACAAGAAAAGCACATAAAAAACAAGACATTTTAGCAGAGGGTCACATCTACTAGTTTTTATAAACTATTTTGACTTGAACACATCGCATTTTATTAGTGTAAATCTTCTTTAATTACACACTAAAATATAAAAAAAATGCTTTAGGTTCTTGTCAAACCTTTGCCTGATTTTCATGAAGATTCAAATATAATCGGCAACAAAATGACAAAAGAGGTTTTATTTCTGATGCATTTACTAAAAAACGAAAAAAACATTTTCATCACTTCTTCAGCTGATCGATAGTCTGAATGATCAGAAGATTACTCATTTATTTGTTGTTAGTTCTAACCTTTATTTAAAGTTGACATTGATTACATACATATATTTTAGTTAATCAATAATTATTTGACCTTATTTAATACATAACTGAGCTCACAATGATACATTCCTATCAAACTATTCTAGAAAGTTCCCTTTTTTAACCCTTTTTTCTTACATGTGATCCAGTCCTATCTAATCCATGTCAAACACTAAAAAGCAGCTGAATAATGAGGCTGATGTTCGCCCGTTTTCACATACAATGATTCTTTTTTTCAGGGTTTTTAGTGGTTGGAAAAAAGTTCAAACCATCTGGTTTGAATATCCCATAATTGGCTGCTAAAATATTTATAAATGGTGTTTGGCTTCTAAAAAAAATACAGCAAATCACTTATCTTAAAACAAAAAGATGTTATAAATGATTTCCCCTTTTGAGTAATTGTTTATGGAAAGGACTGTGGGCATAAAACAAAATGAAGTCGATTCTTGCCTTAAAACAGTCACACATTGGTGAGAAATGACTCATAGCCGTTAGTATAACCTGAGGAGTAACCTATTCTGTACAACTAAGATTTATAAGAAGGGGGTCAATGTGCTCTAGGATCATTTTTCACTCTAACTTTAAATCTTAAACTCGGGGTAAAACAGCGTTCCCTGAGTTTAAGATTTAAAGTTACCTGAGGTATAATATGTTTTCCAGTTGGGATCTTTCTTTGGTTGAAGTAACAGCGCGTGGGCGGAGAAATGTGGGACGACCTGCTCTGACAGAGACCAGCTTGCCTCCTCCAGATCTGCCCTTTTTGTTTGTGCGCTGGCAGATTGTGTGATCCTGTTTCAGTGGGCTGCAGCTGACTGTGGTTCGCCAAAGTGTGACAGATTGTGGTTATAATCGTCCCAAAGAACCTCAGGGACCGAGGTCTCCTGGAAAGTCATGGTGGGACGCTCTAACTAGGGCAGCTTTTGCGTAAAGCAAACTGTTTGGGGCAACTTGGGCCTATATTTGGTGTGGGTGCTTGTGGAGGTCACAGTAGGACTACTTTACTGGCTCTGTTAAATCTTTATATTACTCATCATCCATCAGTTATCATCCATGAGGGATTCTGCTTTACCTGAGTTTTTTTTAAATTAAATATTTAGGTTTTTTGTTCCTTTCTTTCCATTAAGCAAAACCGAAACCCAAAGCTCCAAACCAACATGAATTAAATGCTTATTTTATGCATTTAAATGTAAGTTAATGATGCTACAGGCTTTGGGAAAATAAAAGCCATCTTACTAAAAGATCTGACGTGTATTGCCATGGATTAAAGGGGGAGTTGGGATCACTCTTTAAGACTTTTGGATGCCTGATAATATCGATCTTTAAGTTTCTAGTATCGATTGTTTTAAAAACAAAACATTTTTACCTAAAACTGAGGGAAAATGGGCACTTATGATTCAAACCTCAAACACCATGGATACCAAGATAACTGAACGATCAATATCATCTGGTGAACATAGACAGAGGTTGCTTTTTTATTTATACATTTAATCTAGATAGCAGGAAAAATATCGCAATATATGGTGATATTGCGATATAGTGATGATATCGTATTGATCGTATCGTAACCCCGATGCTAATACTCATCCCTACCGTTTAACATCTTCTCTACGCAGATGATTTTCCAGTTAGGGCTTAATAGAAAAGTGGATTGCTTCCACCTTGACATTTTCAGTAATGTTAAAGCATCCCGAATGTTTTCTTAAGCATTTATCTACAGTCAGAATTACATTTAGTTTATATTTAGCATAAATAAACCAATCAGTTTATTGGAGGTCGTATCCACCTTCTTTTTTCTGTCTTAATGATCACAGCAGATAAGAGAAAAAAAGGTTCCTTGATAGAGCAGCTTTAAATCAGATGGCAACTGAATGAATAATATATTAATTTAAGCATCAAAACAAATATTAACAACTTTTATCTGATGTGTTGTTTGTGGAAATCAGAAAAGTGCATCAAAGTACAGTAGGGAGATTTTGGTGTTTACAAAATGTGATTTTTTTTTTTCTCAAAATCATGCTAGGTCATAGCCTGATAAACCAGACTAAATGTGAGATTAAATGTGTAATTCAGTCTGGCCCCGATGAATGAGACATCGGAAAATTGTTGATGAGAACAACCCGTTGTTTTTCAAACCATGTTTGTGCCTATTAGCCAATGCTCTGTCCAATGAACGCAACTGACTGTGGCATAGTAAGCGCGACAGAAAGCTGGTGGGGGAGTGTAAACAAACAGCCTGTTGGTAAAATGGTGAATACCTCCGTCCTTAAAACTGAATGAGCGTAGAGCTTCTTCCTGCTCACGTTTCAAGGAAAACCCCAACTCTAACCCTTCAAAAACTGATACCAAAGCCGAGGCAAAAGAGAACTGTTCAATAATTGTTGCCATCTTCCTTTTTGATACTTTCTCCTCGCCGTGCAGCGTTGTCGTCCCGCCCTCAAAACCCCGCCCACTTTGCATCCAGAAATTCAAAACACATCTCTGCGTTGTGATTGGCCCGCCAGTTCTAGGGCCTGTGGCACTGATTGAGGCTAGACCACTCGCAGAAAAAAATGATTTTGGCCGCTGGCTGGTGGGGTTAGTTTACTAGGCTAGCAAGGTCACTTACTGTAATAATATTAACATTCCAGCCAGATGATCTAGAAATGAAGAATCTGTTACCACAGTAGGTTGTCCATCACATGGGGAAATAAAGTACAGAAAACCACCTTAGACTAAGAACCTGTTTGCACCATGTTTCTGGGGGAAAGCTGAAACGGTTTGTTCAATTTTTACAGCATTTCTCAACAAGTGTGAGGGACCGAGTCAGCCAAGCATGAGGACACAGTGGGGATCGTCAAGAAAAATG